TCAGGGCCGTAGCGAGGGGGTAATGGGAGGGGGGTTAACCCCCCCCCCCAACTTTTGTAGAATTAACATATTCGGAAAATCGGGTTGGCCATTCGGAAAATTACGGCAATAATAGTATAACAAAATTTTAGTTGTTTAAACAGAGAAAATATTATAAAATGGTATTGTCAGTATAAACCATTGGTATAAACTGATTTACGAAATCACGGCATTTACATGGATAACGTAAAACAAATCGTAAATCAGTAAATGTTTTTCGGTTTATTACTTCTCAGGGCCGTAGCCGACCGGAGGGGGGAGGGGAGGGGGGGACTGGGGCCAGCAGCCCTTACAATAATTTGCTGGTTATCGTTCTTTTTTCAAAATCATGCACTCCTTTATCATTTGAATAATATACCTTTAAAATACTGACAATAGATTAGAGGTGTTCATCGGATCGGATTGGACGTTTATAATCCGACAATTGCCTAATGTTTAAAATCCGATCCGAAATTGTCTAATCCGAATCCGATCCGAGTTTTGAAAAAGAATTACAATCCGATCCAATCCGAAGAATTCTTTAATAAAATAAATTTCTCATTCAAGTTGAACTATTTAACCAAATATAAAAGCAAGAAATACATGTCAAGAAGCTGACAATTAGTGACAAAGTGACGTTCAATTGAAGTATCAAACGAATAATGCAGCGAAAACCGCGATGATACTTTGATAAATGTATGGATAATTAATTCTTGCGACAACGCATGGATAATTAATTCATTTTATTTCGGATATCGAAGTCCGATCCGACTACGAAACAACTTTATCAATCCGATCCGAAATTTACATTTTGGTTCCGAAATCCGAACGAATCCGATTGGATTCGAATCGGATTTGCACACCTCTACAATAGACCTTAATTTCCCCCCATTTGAGTGAAATTTTTGATCTAGTCAAGGCTGGACAAAAATTTCACCACAGCTTGAAAAAGCATCACAAAATTAGTAATATTCCGAAGTTCCGTTGAATGTTGTAAAATGCGGATAATATAGCCTTGCGAATTAGTTTGCCGTTTTTATATAAGACATTTTGCATTACAAACGGGAAATTGAAAATCAGATGATCAAACTGATTATTTCTGTCAAAACTTCCCCACCCAAAGTGTAGCAAATGGCATTTCAGAGAATCTAAATTTAAAAATTTCCTCGGCCCTTCGGCCCTCGTTCCCAGCCCCCAATAAAAAAGAGCTTCCTAGGGCACTGCATGCTTCTGTAATATGTCTTTGCGTAAACTATGTGTATTTTTGTTTGTAAATTGCATCTTCATTTTCCGAATAGCAAACACCTTCGTGGCTTCGTATGCCATGAAATATTCGGAAATTTTCTTCGTCCGATTCGGAAATATTTGGCCTACACCCCTACTATACATGCTAGCTACGGCCCTGTGTAGCCTTTAGTCGCTCTTTGTGACTAATAATTGTTTTTAGGGGGGAATGGGGGCGGCCCCCTTGCCCCCCCTTGCGCCGCCACTGGTTGGAGTAACAATAATGGTCCAATTGACCACAGAGCAACGAGTATTTCTTGTAACACAATTTAACCTAATATTGAATGTAACCGCAGTTAACCGCACTCAGCAAAACGTATTTATGGAATCCGTTTTAAAATGTTTAAATGTATATAAATACAATGTCGTTAAGTTCCCAGGTGTTTAAGCACGCGCTTTAAAAGCGGTTTAAGAACAATGAGATAATTTCTATAGTGTCACTTTTTTGGGGACACCCTGTACATCCACCGAAGGCAAGTATAGTGTTATCTTATATTTGAATACAAGCTTCAATCATGCAATATCAAAGCTGGAGTAAATTTGCACTATACCGAAAACGGCAACACTGCACCATTACAGCGTTTGGTGACTAATTTCAGTTACGGGAATACTACTTCGTTATAATGTAGTCATATTTGTAAAAATAGATGTCCACAATTGGTATTATAGCTATAATACGGTAAATAATATTTATACTAAATAATTGAATTATGTGAGAGCTAAATTAAAATCAATTAATTAACATTAATTGCGGAAACAAGCTTGAAAGTTACTATAACTAATTCTTAAATCTTTTCTTCCTTTTCATTCATTATTGTATTAGAAAATATCGACGATACTGTAGAACCTCCACTAACTGACGTCATCTGAGTTCAAACTTCAAACAGACAACATATATGTATAATTGGCCAGTTACTGTGAATTAAAATCTCATTATGCAAAATCGAATTACTGATATTCAAAACCACCATAATTTTTGAATCTACGAAGTAGATTACATGCTATCGACGTGTTAGCTGGTCACTGTTCACTGTTAACTTAGCCAATAGTGTGTTTTCACGCGAACCGCTGTGACGTCACTAGAATTTAGCGTCCGCCATGTTGGTGGAGTAAAACGCGTCACGTGCGAGGAATTTACAAGCGTTTACTTATAGCTGTGCCAAATCTGTTCGAAATATTCCTTAATATGCCGGCTTTTTGTGTAGTTTTAAACTGTTCCAATGAACAGGTGGGAAATTTGTCTGAGCATGCGCGAGTAAAATGAGCCACGCAATTGCTGGAATACACGCAACGCGTGTTTACAAAAAGGCACAATCGTGCAAATATTGCCAAATGTTTGTACAAAATAAATGACTGTTTTATGTTGAAAGAGTGGACATGATCTAAATTAATCATACAGAATTTTTTAGTGACGTTCTATTTCAGTACCCTGCCATTGTCTCTGGTGGGCTGTCCGTGTGAATTCGATCTGAAACAGTTGCTACTTTGCTGTCGAAGAATTTCGAATGTTTACATAAAAATAGAGGCAAGTCATGCATTTTACAACCTCTCAAACTGTATGAGCCCCTATTTTTACGCTTATACCTAAGATATCAAATAAAAGTACATGAAACAGAGAACATTTGTAGTAAGTTTTATTGTGAGGCCACGGCCAGTTTTTAAAATATCTTTATTTCTGTTCTGGTCATCACCAAAATTACACAAAAGCCGGGCTTGAATATACAACAAATTTTGAATCTCATCAAGCACAAAAATACTTAACGTGTAACCAAAATATGCTCATGAAATCGAAATTAATAGCTAAATTTTCAAACTAGACCCTTCTCGAAGCGGTTTTGACGAAGGAAGTTCACATTTCGGCCTTTGATTCTTGGCAAAAATTTGACCACAACACGTGCGAAGCAACTGGGTCTCAAAGACTGAACTAAAACATTGTGAGCCCCTATTTTCCTGACGATATGTTTGATACCTACAAACGCCGAAAAGTTTTTTCTTTTCATTTAGCTATATTTGAAATTGAGGCCACGGGCTATTTTTGAGAAAATACAGTTCAAAGTCAAGCTATTTTTACATATTTTCAAAATTTGTCAAATTTCGCGAGCTTGTATTTTGAACTTAGACAGCTGAAGTTACATTAAGAAACATAGGATGGAAAATTTGAGGCATATAAAGTTAATTTCAACTTACATTTCATTCTCAAATCACGTCTTTCTTCGTTTATTACGGTTTTAAACAAGCCATAGATCGACGTATGTGGTATTTACTCCCATGTTCACGTCGCCATATTAACTTCTTCCAATCACGCGATTACAAAACAATCATCCCAAAACAAAGAATTCATGATCGACTTTTAAAAGAATAACCAATAATTTGTAAATCGTTGAATGGAAAGCAAAAAATCGTCAGCTAAAACAGCTTCTTGCTAACTTTCTGCTTTGTTTTGAATGCAAATGCAATGAGCTTTGTTTCTGCCCGCAATTTTTTGGTCAGCGACGACAAATTTCCCACCTGTTGTTCCAATGACAAATCTAAACGTAAAGATCTTTCTTTCTGCCGGGTGCCGAAAGTTATTTAAAATCAAGGCGAGGAAATGGAGATTTTGTGAACCAAACGCGGTCGAAGATGACTGTCGGCCATATTATAAAATTGGAGTCGCCGGAAAATACAACAGAAATGGTCAAAGAGAAGTTACAGAGAGTAAACGAACCTGGCGTGGTTGTTAAATGTTTATTTGATCCTATGACTATTGACGATATCGAAGACATCGCAGAAAATTTGCCAGAAAACTTGAGAAACGCACGCCGGCCATATAAACACAAACAGACGTTTCAACCACAACAGTTGGCATTCAGACAAGCGAGTGTCATATAATTCTATGCTTCACTCCGAGTTTTAATTTCTGTGTAAACCATGTTCTGCTGACTTTTATTGATAGACAAACTAATCTCCTTGCAAGGGCACAGACGTTTTCAAGTTACAAGCATCATAACACTATTATAGTGTTAATTGGAATTACACCACGCAAGAGACTAAGATTCGGGGGGGGGGTGTAGTATCGCATTTGCCGACAACTTTTCAGCCGCTAATTACTATTTATTTTCCCCCTAAATTGTTGACGAATATTTTCGCTGACTAGGACAAAAAAGGCCCTACACCGAAATTTCCATATAGGATTGTAACTTTTCCGAATAGTGCAATTTTCTAAACGTTGGGGGTGGAGGGTGGGGGTTGGTGCCGCACTCGCTTGCGGCTCGAGTATTTTTACATTTTCCGAAAGTCTCGCGACATCCCTCCTGCATGGATCACGAATCCTGCACGGAAAACCATTTGGTATTCCTTTATGGCTAAATATCGGGATTTGGGGGATCTCGCTCGATATAACTAATTTTTGACGGGATTTGTAGACGGAAATTTCAAGTTGGGCTTTAACCAGCTGCATGAGCTGCAGAGAGACAGTTGTCAGTTTGTATTTTGTTTAATTAAACTCCCACGCAATCCACGCAACCGGTACTCCAATTTGAATTCCAATTGGAATTTGGGCCAATTTTCATTTGGAATGAGCTTTCCTGTCCGAAGTTAAATGGACTCCAATAGGAAAATTTAAATCCAATTAATTGGAGTTTGGGCCAATTTCCAACAGTAAGATATGCATGTCAGGTTTGAAGTGTCTGAAGTACATTGATTCGGAAAACATGACGTATATGAGAAACGCAGCATATTCTGCAAATATTTACATTTGTGCCAGTTGAGAAGTACTGAAACTACAGAATTGGTCAAGATTGTTACTAGAGATATTAAAGGTATATCAGTGCTAAGTCCTTGCATGGCAAGCATGTTTGGAAAGAATTATATGTAGAAAACGTCAAACACTAGATCATTTATATAAGACTGACTGCTAAAGTGCTTGCTATATGCATGTCATTGAATTTAATACTGTCTGCCACTCAAAGCCAAGTACTCGGTTTTCGTCGATATATGAAGAGAACTTTAGTTTTTTACGTAATTGTGCGGCTATTATTATTAGATACGACGATTTTTTCGTTGTTCTCGGCTATAATATAGACTTACGTAACTCATGTCAATATTAGCATTCAAATTTAATACTCTCTCTCGACACTGCATATACACTATTATAGCTATTTCAATTAAGGTTGTCCCCGAGCAAAGAGGAAAGTCCAATACAAACACGAAAGACTAGTGGGAATATCTAACAAATTAATGAATTTTTTAGCGATTCCCCGCAGCCTTTCGCGCTCGGACAACCTTAATTGAAATAGCTGTATATCGTATTGCACAAGTGCAATACGACTTTGACGTTTCATATCTTCGGACGTTTCATATCTTCGACTCTGACGTTTCATATCTATGGGGACAAAAATACCACTGTTCGATTCAGTGTAACAATATCTCCTCATTCCTAGCGATAGTTTTTAGTCAATGGCAACATTACAGCGATTTATGAGCTTTGAAAGCGAAGCGACTTTGTGTATAAACATAGACATACCTTTCGCCGAACATATTAAACTCCCATTGAGACGTATGCTCATTATAATAATCTTGTTCGATTGAGTATTCAAAACACTGTTTACAATGTTATTTTCAAGTTTCTATCTTTAAATTGTGATCTTTTATTGCCGTATTTACATTTCTGGTCCGAGTGTGCGATAATCCCAACAGGAAGTACGATTTTAAAATGTCGAAACAATGAGATGCTTGTAGGCAATCGATACACCGAAGCGTAGCGTATTTCTTTGTTTCCGGAGTGGTAGTGTGGAACTAATGACTTCGAGTCTTCGACACAAAAGAAAATGCTACGGTACGTTACGATACGATTGAAGTGGAAAACAGGCTTAAAAATGTCAAAGAAACAGAAGCTCCTTTATAATATTTTGTCAAAGTATAGTGGGTGGCACGCGCGTGCGAGTAAAACCCGATATCTTGAAAAATTCAAAATAAATATTTCTAATAAGCTTTGCAGTAATAAATTTACGTGGTGTTTCCGCCGTTTTCAAACGAAACTTTCTACACGAAAGCGCTTGAATACAAAGAGTATTTCACTCAAATATAGCCTTTCAGAAAATGACGAAAAGTTTAGAAGATATTCAACTTTTTCTCGATATGACATACAGAATGTTTGGCTAAGCGGTGAGTATAAATATATGATTGTCTCGGTTTGTGTATTAATGTTTTATAGACGGCACTTGACCCGCCGTTCGAAAGGTTATTTTGTGAGAATTTCAATGGTCAGTCGTGTAGGCCTATAAAAGGGGGGTAGATTCTCGCCAAGATATTTACATTAGAAAAATTGAATGGCGTATACTGTAATGCGATACTGCTTGTCGAGAAAGATTAATACAAAAAGAAACAAATTCCGAAAAATAAGGTCATGAAATTCAAGATATGAATTAAAACAAGACGAGTGTGTTCGACTTTATGTCAAGGCATCATCAGACAGAATGAAATACAATACGTTACATACAGCATAATACATAGCAAGAGCGGAAGAATACACGACTCCGGAAAAAGAGGATAAACAAGGCAAAGACTTAGCTACTAATACTTAGACTAAGTGTAGTTATTTTACACAATTTATATATATATATATATATATTATATTTACAACAATTCGTATTGTAACGTTTTGTAATTCGTATTATATACGTATTTAACGTATTGTTTATCATTCTGTCTTTATTTGTAACGTATTGTATTTCATTATGACTTTGAAATAAAGTCGAAAATTTACAGTCTCATACATTCATCTTGTTTTAATTCATATCTTGAATTTCAAGATGACCTTATTTTTCGGAATTTGTTTCTTTTTGTATTTTCTTAAATTGACGGCTGGCGTGTTTTTCGAGAAAGATATAGAAGCGACCAATAAGGCATATGTGCACGTATATGTCAGTTTATGTCGATCTGTGGAAGTATAATACATTTAGCTAACTAAGAGTCTAAGTCTAAGACCATTTTACTTTTCATTCCTGTACATGCAGGTTTACGAAATCAACGGAGAATGTCTAGACCAATTCAGCATTGGTTACTTATATCGCTATTGTTGTTTAAAGGTAAGGTAACTGACAATTGCACCAAGTAAACTGAGATTATACTTCACCAAAGACGACAAAGTCTCAAGTCTGTAAATATAATTGTAATATATATTTTTTGGAACTTACACGGAACTTACACGGTTCGAGAAGTATAAATGAAAACTGAATCGCACGTGTGCCATTTCAGAGAGAAATATTGATTATACTGTAAAGGCCTGATGAGTTCCACGACGGCGAAATTCTTCGGGAGAAATATTAGAAATTGTCATGTCTGCGAAATACGGATGGTTGCACACGAGTGATTCTATTGAGTTTTCTCATTTTTTTTACGCTTTTGCATATACTGTAACTAGCGAAATTCTTTCTCGCGAAGCCTAATTTATCTTTACTGCGGCCTCGCGTGCACTTCTTTCAAGATTCCAAGATTTTGTTATTGATGGGCGTCTTTCATCGAACGATCAAATTCAAAGAATTGTTACGACAGTTTTGAAAGGAATAGGAATTAATGACACTGCGAATAAGACAGTTTGTTCCCAAATCAATATTATTAAGTACTATTTAAAATATGAGCAGCTACTCTTTATGGGCATTTAGAATGTTAAGTGCCATAAAGATCAGTTGCGAATATTTATCAACTATTGAATTCGGTTCTCGCAAAATATCGTGATTTTCTCGGTGGCAAGCAGATCAATTATTTGATTTTAATATATCTCAGCGAGCCACCGACAAATCACGATACTTTGCGAGAACCGAGTTCAATAATTGTTTTATCATTCTCGTTTTTTTCTTCCAGTATGCAAGAGAACTCATCTACCGAAAGTTCAGCAAAGCGAGCCGTCATTGTTTACAAAAAAATTTAAAGATTGTTTTAGCTCATAATTTCCAGTCTCAAATCCGCCTGACCGTGTAGCTCAGTTGGTAGAGCGTCGATCTAGTAATTCGAAGGTCGCGGGTTCAAGACTCAGCCGCGGCAGACTTTATCTTTCTGCTTGCGCTGGGTATGGAAATTATGAAATACACATTCCAGAACATTTTCTACTTATCATATTACGGAGTGAATATATATATATATATATATATATATATATATATATATATATATATATATATAAAAATAT